GATAAAGCTGAAAAAACTAAATTGCACAAAAAAAAAAACAACAGAATCATGTTTGCATCCATAACCAGTGTTGTTTCATTTCTCCTGACGGCCAGATATGGTGTTACAGGAGTAGATGACCCATACCAACAAAGTCACAAGTAAAGTAACAGAAAACCAAGGATTACTGGTGAAGTACAGCCAAACTCACATCCTGAGATGAAGAAACACTGACATTCTCACTAAAGTACAGGCAAAGGACCATCTCGCTGCAGCACAGAAGTTGTAACAGTCTAAAAGACTATTAACATGTTTTTCTGTTATTTTTGTTGGTCACTATTAAGGGGGCGCTACTGAGCTATGGGTAGTTAGGTATAAACCCTGTTCTTGACTCACAAGCTGAAGTCCAAATTGGGAAACTTTGGTTTAACGCCCAGTGTTAGTAAGCAATGTGCCATTTTTTTTTTTTTTTGCATTTTTGTATCATTTATTGTGTATTTAGTGAGTCTGTAGAAGTGGAATTTTCTAACAGCATTTATTGTTGATTGTAAAGGGGCTTCATGCTGTGACTATTTCGCAGAGTGGGTTAGCGTGGGATGCTAGACCTGCATGGTGCGTTCTGCACAAATAGCAGCACGGAGCCTTTAACATTTCATTTTGTGCTGGATGAAAAGTGAGTGTATGATACATGTCAACCTGTGTGAAGTCCTGTTTGTGGATGATGCTTCGCGAGGACTGTATATATCTTTTTTTTTTCCGTTTGGGAGTTCAACGTGAACTGTGGACTAAATATTTGTTTTTGCAACACTTTCATTACACTTTTCTTTTTTTTTTTTTGCTTATGGGCTATGGACATTGACTGTTTGGACACTCCTCATCTACACCATTGTCAACCAGATAAGATTTACCATTTTCTTTATTTCTCTGATGTGTTTGGGTTAATTTGTAAATGTGGTATTAAGCTTTTCTGTAGTGGGAAAGTGGCATGAAGCATTCCTAATGCAATACATATCATTACTTATTTTTGAACTTCTGTGATTGTTATCTTTTTGCATGTGTGAAAGCAGGGAGCCATTGTTGTAAAATATTTAACATGTAATACGAACAAACGCCGGGGTCCTCCCAAATACATATGTATAAGCAAAGCTTTTGCATGACAGGGTAGTTATAATGTCAGCAAGAGAAACACCCCTGAAGGCAGCTCACTAAGAAGAAACAGCCCTGGTGGAATGACAGGTGATGGTCTCAGGCATGGGTTGCCAAGCATATGGCATGCCAAAACAATAACCTCAACAACCCACCTCAATGGCCTCTGCTTAGAGGGGCACCTTCATTAGCAACCCTATAATGGACAAACAACTGTTCTGATCGTCTTAACGGTGTTGTAACCTTTACATAACACCTCAAGGTTTGCACGGAAGCAGAATGTTATTCAAGAACTGCTGGTTGGAATTAACAGCTCATTGGACTGAAATAAACTGGTGCAAGTGCACCTTAGGAAGGAAAGCCAGATTGGGCCAAAGGATAACAGCAGTACCCTCTGGTTTCCATCTCATGCAGGACTGACTCACAAATGATGCAAATGAAGCCACGGCCAGGAAGCAGGCTGCTTTTAAGGATTTCCACCTAAGATCTGTATCCTCAAACGGTTCAAAAAGTAGGTGACAAAGAGATTCCAACACCAGAGATAAATTGCACAGAACCAGAACAGCAAGCAGGTTAAAGGCACTTTGCAGGTGTCCTTAAAAAAAAAAAACCTGCAAACTAGGCTGTGGGAGCCCAGAGAAAAACAGTCCATATGCATGGTGTGCAGAAACAGCCACCACATAAAAAAGACATAAAAGATGGAGGCTGCCTTGCCACTGTCAGGTTGGAAATAAATTTTGCAGGACAGTGGGTCCCCAGAAGCAGGGTTGAAGACCTCTGGTATATAATATTTGCACATCAGGGAGCCGCTATCAATATGCAGGGTATTGAAATCACTTTTGAATAAGCACTCGCTATTCACTTTCACTTTTGAGATCACGCGCACTCTGTGTAAAGGGAGCACATCTTACAAAGTTATTTATATATTTATTATTTATATAAGTTATATAAAAAGATATTTGTCAATGAGCTCAGGATCTGTCGAGCAGCAAATCCTCCATCATGGTCTTGTCAGTCATCTCTCCTTACTCTTGACCCGTGATCAGTGAAATCTGACTCCTGCAGCTTGTGTATGGAGCAGAGCAGACACTTTCAGTTTAGAATTGTAGCGTATGTTTTCCAACTGAACTAAATAACTTTTATTTCTATAAAAAAGCAAAATGACAGAGGGGGCGGTGCCGCGGTGGGCAAGTAATGTAATTGGTGTAGGACCAAACTCAGTGTAACACCGACTACCACAGCAAGCCAATGTTTATGTAACTTCAGCATTCTTGTTATGTGCCAAATCGCAGGACCCACGCTATATTTTTTGACCATCCACTCCTGCCCGTAGCAAAGGTAAAACCGCCTGCTCCTGCGAGATGCTCCCAATCTATTTGTGTATAAGCAGCCCTAGAGTTGAGTGCAGTGACTGAGAGTTCACAGTACAAGGCAGTAGCTCCCAGTGGCCAGACCAATAACTGAAGACAGGCCGGGTCTATATGCCAAATATGGCTGTCCTGCTGGGATACCTCCTGAAAGGAAGGTGCCTTGGTCTGCCCACCAAAAAGGTTAGGAGCAAGGAAAACTATCGTTTGGACAACCACCATGGTGGTCAAATACATCCTGTGTCTGGCCTGAGCAATTCTGTGAAAAAGTGCACGCATCTCCAGCTAGACGTCATGGGCTGGGCGTCATGCAGTTTCTCAAGAGAGAGCTGCTGAATTGGATCAGGTCTACCACAACAGTAGGAATGCATCCCGAAAACAGTTAGTACATCCATTGTACATTATCGCCAAAACCCAAGAATCGGTGATGAGTAAGTGCTCATCACCGAAAACACACATCAGGATGCTTCTCTGTTGGCACAATCAGTTTTCCAGATTTCCCAAACAGTCAGAGGGGAGCTTCATCAGAAAAAATAAACGGATTTCTGCTGTTCAAACCTTGTGCAAAACTTGTCCTTGATGTTTTTCTTGGAAAAAAGTGGCTTCTTTGACAACAGGCCATTGTCCTAGTCTTTGCCTCACTGTGTGTAGATGCTCTCATATCCACCGGCTACCAATACTGAGCAAGCTCTGTGCTGCTGGTGACACTCCTCAGCAGATGTCCTGGCGCTTGCTAGACACTCCGGGATGTCCTGAAGCCTTCTCCACTGCAACTGAACCTCTCTTCCTGAAGTGCTTGATGATTCGGTAAATGGTTCTGTCAGGTGCAAAATGTATCCAGCAATTTCCTTGCATGTCAGGCCAATATGATTATGGCTGTACGTCTTTCTGTGGAGGTAATCATTGCTAACACATGAGTACAATGATATGAGGCACTTCCTTCTTTCCTCCTTTTGTAGCAATCAAGGCCTGGGTACACTTCACTTTCCACGTTCCGTTCCATCTCGTGCACAGCACGCCCGCACAGCTCAAACGCGGATGAGCGCGAGTGTGACACATGTGCAGTATCACCTAGTAGACTTGTTCAGTCTCAACATTCACCTCGCGCCTGCACTGTTGTATGAGGACCACACGCAGTGTGCATGGACGTCCGCTGACACTTCTGATGACAAAAGCTGCGTCACACGGACAGTGTGCGGACCGCTCCGTAACGTGGACGGCCGAAGTATACTTTGGACTTAAGTCTGCTCTTATAATCCATTCAGAATGATAGGGTGATTTCACCAGACTAGTACTCGTTCACACTTTCCCATGTGCTGATGATATCATTAGTGAAATTATGTTAGCTACTCATTTTGTACCAGGGCCAAAACAAAACTGTTTAGTTTTTTGTCAAAGTTGGCCAATGTTAGCTTTTTGCCGTTATTTAAAATGCATCTTATTACTCTGCACAATAATCTAGAAAGAATGAATGCGAATCAACACAACAACAATGAAAGCAGCAAACTAAAACTAGCAGCAAAACAGCTGTCGGAATACTGCTGATCCCTCAAGCACAGACCTAAGGAATGCAATTTACACAATTTATATTTCATCTTAAAATTAAAGGGGTCATATGATACTGCTAAAAAGAACATTATTTTGTGTATTTGGTGTAATGAAATGTTTTTATGCGGTTTAAGGTAAAAAAAAAAAACACATTATTTCCCACATACTGTACATTATTGTTTCTCGAAGCAGATATCGTCATCTTTTGGAAGGCCAAACAAAGTAGTTTCGCTTTCACAACAAAACACACAGCGCCTTCACGACATGGCAGCAACAATAATACTACAGCGAGAATAAAAGGTACGCCTTCCTTCTTTGCGTGAACATTTGGGCGGCGTTATGCAAATCTTCCCACATAGTGATGTAGATATGTGGGGGCGTGTTAGAACGAGCCGTTTTAGGTAGGCGTGGTTGATTCTTAACTTTTATAAAGAATATCTCTTTGGATTTGAGACTTTAGTCTTTGCAACTTTACAGATCTTCTTTATGCACCAAGAGCTTGTAACATTCCAAAGAGAAAGGAAAACTTGAAATTGCATCATATGACCCCTTTAACAAATGTTTTTAGTTATAAGTTTGAAATCACCATGAAATCAACAGACTTGATTGTCTTTGTAACACTTAAATACGCCAAAACTGCTTCATTAAACAGAACAAGCATTTACATGACTTACTTCAACCACACCAGCAGATCCGTTCACCACCTCAAAGATCCCCGTCTCCTCCAGCGACACCTGCATACACACTACAGTTAGTCCAGCACAAACCCATCCATTTCTATGCAGTGGAAAGATGCGTCATAAAAGAAAACAGGGACACCACAGCTTTTCAGACCTTCAGATCTCTCAGTCGGGTCTTGGCAAGGGTGATGTACTCTTGCAGCAGAGAACGATACTTTCCTCCGATGTACGGAGGATGCATTACATGAACCTAAAGAGCAAGCATAGGAATGAAAGGAAATATGAAGGGAGATCAGTCCAAACAGCAGCTTCATCAGTGAGCACAAAGATGTTTTATAAACTGACATTACAAGGTTTTTGACATTTAATTGGTATTGGGTTGCACTTAGATCACAGAACCCTGAGTGCGTGTCTGACCTTTAGATACTGTGGTGGTTCATAAGGAACGAGGTCTGACAGGAACTTCAGGAGAAACACAGTGGACTTCTTGCCTTTAGCATGATAACCGCTGGAGCCACCAAATGACAACTAATAAAGCAAATCACCACCAATAAATTAAACACCAGGCAGAAGAAAAATACAAAAACAAGATATTATTTAAAAAAACATCATCTCAAATTTAGGTAAAGGCTACTAAAGCATTTAATATGTGAGTGTTTGGAGACAAAGCACAGACTTTAAACCAATCACTGTATGGGGGAAAGACAGCAGGACCCTCGAGAGACGCCTGACGGGCCAACAGGAACAACGTGATCATCTTCTCCACATCGTAACTGTCAAACGCTGATCTCAGCAGCCTGGACAGTAGATCTGAACACAGAGACAGACACTGCATGACGTGTTATTACTCCCTCAGTATTCATTCATCAGAAGCTGAAGAGCACTGGCGTGTACCTGTGAGGCAGCACTGTGTCTGAGAGTGATATATCAGCAGATGAGACAGACACGAGAGAATGTGACGCCAGTTCACCTCATGAGTCTCTAAGACCTGCTGCATCTGACTCAGCACACACTCCACACTGAAGACAAGACAGATCTGACAGACAGACAGAAGGGACACAGATGTTACTCTGGGTCAGACATAGAGTTCTCTCTCTTTTCAAAACAAGAAATGGACAGTTTAAGCAATAGCACACTGTATCACAGTTATTGACAGCTAAGCAGTAAAGATCTGGCGCCCATCCATGGTAATATTTCATAAGGCCGGAAGAATGATGGGACAGGTGGGTCCTTGAAGATCTTATTGACAAAGAGAAGTGCCTTTATATAAAGATATGGATGAATTCAGAGCCAGTGGAAGAGGTATCTTCAGTTTATTTTTGATGGTCTCATCAGGTTTAGTGGACACAAGTAGTAATGGCACTGAGAGAGATTTGAAGGTCCTCTGCTGTGTGTTCAGGGAATGTTCCAGTATCTTGTTCTTAACAAACATCTGTCTGAATTTGTCCCTGTTAGGTGTAACTGTGTCATTGAGTGTTAAAGGAGTAGTTCACTTCCAGAATAAACATTTCCTGATCATTTACTCTCCCCCATGTCATCCAAGATTTTCATGTCTTTCTGTCTTCAGTCGCAAAGAAATGAAGGTTTTTGAGGAAAACATTCCAGGATTTTTCTCTATATAATGGACTTCAATGGAGACCAACGGGCTGAAGGGCCAAATTGCAGTTTCAGTTAGCTCTTCGTCTGTGTACTACGGTTTAGAAAGGTAGGGTAGGGCGAAAAACTGTCAAAATCGTCTGGCATTGTGTTTTACCTTTTTTGTAAAGGGCATTTGACTTTCTTTGCACGTTAGTTTTGGTGGTCGGTACTTCCGCCTTCGTCACGCGTGACCTTTCCAACCTTTAATCTGTAAGTGAACTAATCCTTTAAGGGATACTCTTGATCTGAGCTCGAGGCAAATCACACTGAATAAGCTCAGGTTACTCTGTGTGTAGTGAATACGTTCAAAGAGTATAAAAGTAATTTACCTTCGAAAAAAGAGCCGTCAATAATGGAAGCGTTTTAGCAAAGCTCCATTCACTCTGTACAGCGATGACATCTGACACTACACAAATCACAATTATAAGCAATTACACACACTTCAAACTGCTACAAAGATAAATGACAAACAGAAAAGAGTAGGGCTGGGTATCGAGTTCGATACTTTTTAGGCACCAACCAAATTGCCTCGATGCCATCAAGTATCGAAAAACGTCTTGTTATTTGCTACCAAATTTTGAAACCTAAGTGGTTAATCTGGTCAACGTCAGTGAGCCAATAAGCATGCAGCAATGCTTGATGTGCCTAAATCAAGTGCTGGTGGTTGGCTCTGGTGAGGCTGGGCAGGATTGTGGCATCTTCGAATATTCATTGATTATTATGGTGAATGACGTCAAGTTGACTGTTGCAAAATTGGCAGATGCGTCTACGTGCTTGGAGCTGTCGAATGAGGTATCTACCTATACATATCTATGCTAGTTTACCCATTCTGCCCAGAGGCACGACTCACACGTGAGGCTGCAGTGTATAAGTTAAGCATCCAAACCTCCATAGATGTAAGGCTACATTTACACTAGTGTGTTTTTGTTTTAAAATTAAAACGATCCTCATCCATACTGGCGTTTCAACTGCATTTCAGAAAAGATCTCCGTCCACACTACACGACCGAAAACACTATGCATGCACACTGTAGCATCATGCTACACAAGACAATTTATAAGATTTATAAGATTTTTTTTAATTTTTTTTATGGGTTTAGCTGTTGATTTAAATTTTAAACTCTGTATTTGTATCATTGTATTGTGTTACTGTGAAGCACCTTGGTCAGCATTAATGTTGTTTAAAGGTGCTATATAAATAAAGATGACCTTGACCTTGACCTATACTACACTTTTACTCAAAACTCACTTTAAACCACCATAGAGTGTTTGTAATAACTCTCGATTGCAATCTAATATATGTTTTGGCCATATAATGTTGCTGAAATATGCTATTTGTAGCCTTTTCTATTAGCTAATCGCTACACCTGCTTAGCATTTCTCATGTAAACACCCTGTATTGTTGTGACAATTGCCAGAATCGCATAAAAATCACAGACAAATCATATACTGTCATAATCTCGTGTTTATTAGCTTCATGTTTCATCTGTAGAAATGTTTTCTTGGGTTTCTTCTGTACAGAACTGAACGCAGAAGTGTAATAAATGTTCGTCATCAGAAGAGACAGGGCGGGTTATGAACGTGTAATATGAGATATGACATATGAGCAGCGAATGAGCTTCCTCTGAGTCAGAACAGTGATCGCGGAAGAGAAAACACAGGCAGACAGTGCATAAAAAAGCAAAAACCAAATATATATATATATATAGCTGCAAGCAGCGATTATCGGGGTTCAAGCGCTTTAAGGAATTTAAGGACATACAAAAAAATACATTACGTATTATTTAACAAGCTAGTAACCACCTAAATCAATAATTTAAAAAAGCATTTTTGGCAAATCCAGGTAATGTATCCAGGTAACCATAGAAATATGATTTTTTTACGTTTATGACTGGTATAGCGCCACCTATGGTTGGATTGGAGGAATTCGCAGAGTAGGTTTTTTTAAATAAATGTAAATTATTTAAAGAACAATTTGATAGACAGCAATGGTCCTACAGGCAAAGTTGTTCAGAATGAGGAGATCGATCGTACGATGTGGAGATCTAATGTATGCGTGAATATATGAACATTTTCTGCAATTTGAGGTCATTTACCATAGAAATATAGTGTTTTGTTATAGTGTTATAGCGCCACTTGTGATCCGATCTCCATAAAACGTTTCATGCTTGTTTAGAATCACCTGTCGCATGTGCTCACCAAGTTTCGTGAAGTTTTGAGTTTTTGTTTAGGCTTTATAGGCTCTTGGGTATATTTGGACACGCCCCTTTTCTAAACGACCCCCTTATAGCTACCCAAAGGGTAAAGATCAAAATTGTTTTTGATAATTATTGACCTAGAGAGTCCAGAGAATTGTACTGCAATGTTTTTTTTTTCCCAGATTGAGTGAAAAACCTAGGACTAGTTCACAAAAGTAGGTTTTTTACATATTCTCAATTATTTAACAAACAATTTGATTGACAGCAATGGTGCTAGAGGCAAAGTTGTTCGGAATGAGGAGGTCTACATATGATATGAATATTGTGTGTATGTTTGAAAAACCCCACAATATACAAACGTTTACGCCCTTGAAAAATGCAATATTGCCTCCCAGTGGCCAATTTCTTTCAAATTTCTCACAGACCTTTAGGGCCATGAGTGAAACAGGTCCACTGAGTTTTGTTTCGATCGACCTCCATTAACCTTGTCTAATAGGTGCTCAAACTTGAGCCTGCGACTAACGGTTTAGGAGTTATGAGCGATTTCCTACTTTTAATCGCTGTAGCGCCCGTCAGGTCGACTGGGGCGAGCCTTGGTGACGTTGTAGACAGTGTAAGTACTACCATCCCTCCAAGTTTCAAGTCTCTACAACTTACGGTTTGTTCTGCCCAATCAGTTTTGCATGGAGATTGCTGATCTAACAATTACAATTGGGTTTCAACGCTACACGCTTGAACCCCTAAGAAAAAAGACAGGTAGACAGCGCCGGAAGCAGCTAATACTCATCAGATCGCGTAAATCAGTAAAAAACGAGTAGAAATTATGATTCTGTCTAAGCTATGCGTTTTAAAACGGAAATCCCACTAGTGTAAATGTAGCCTAAAAGATGTGGAAGCTGAAAACCATTTGAACTATTAAAACTATTTGCACTGATTTATTGTGTTGGTTACATTTTGTTCCTTTGCACAGTGGCTCAGGAGATGAGGCTTTGAGTCTGTAAAAACATCAACAAACTGAAAAAATAAAACAATGTAGCGTCTGGACCAATCAGACACACCATTTTTCATTTGATTTAACAAATCAATTATTCATTAGATTAACAAACGTTCAGACCCCTCACCCAATAAACATATTGGGTGCCAAGTTGTCTGTGAGTCTTACTTGTATCACACTTGACGTTGGTCATTGTTTGCTCATAACTGCAGATTTATGCTACAGGCTCTGTGTAGAGTTGTACAGTAAGAAAGTAATTTCCCTTAACCAGGAAATTAACGTTCTTAGAATTGACAGACAGTTGACCCTGAGAGGTCAAGTAAATATCTACAGCGGATCTAAATATTTATAATTAATTATAACTAGTTATGATTAATTATTCATATTTCCCCATGAGCTGATTCGCTACAACAAGTTTTAACCAAAAACGGATTTCATAAAATTGGAATAGAAAAAAAGTATTGTTCAAGAACCGGTATCGAAGTCAAGGTATCGGTATCGATCTTGAACATTTTTGAACGATACCCAGCCCTAGAAAAGAGGTTCCCGACACACTGTCAGTCTGTGCTTTAGTAGACTAGTTTTCAGTGTCTCTTCCTGCAGGTCTGTAAGTATGCCATTGAAACAATCACTCAAATGACTGGTTTAAAAACTACTGGAACCATTTCATTGGTGTAGCAAAAACAGACTTCTCGTTAACTTCTTGTTTATTAAGCAGTCGCGGTCGTGCTGAGATACAGAAAGTCTAAACTCCAGCACTCTTGTCTATGTGATATTACTCAAATCAGGGTTCCCACACCTTGGTTAACTTAAAATTCAAGGACTTTTCAAGGACTTTCCAGATCCAATACCCTCAAATTCAAGGACTTAATGTGGGGTCACATTTCAAGTGAAAGCAAGGTTACATCGTGCTACCTTGTAAGATACATTGTTACAGTTTTCATGTGTCAAACACAACTATGCAAAAAAAGCATTTTTTTTTTTTGCATTTTTTTTTGGCCATATGACAGAGATCTGATATTCTGTGTCGTATTTCTGTTTTGCATAATCCTATACTGTATTCTAAAATGATCTGATATTAACTTTTGCATGGATTTTATTGAAAAGAGCTTAGGCTCATGTAACCAGAAGTTTTAGGATATATGAATATGCTTTTAAGTTTTTCTTGCCTCATGGGTTATATTTGTGATGCAGAAAGAGTGTGTGCTTTCTCTATGGTCCTGTGTGAGAGTGGAGCCCCTCATCATTCACATGCACAGTGTGTCTGCCATCTTAACACACGCACAATCCAAAGTGCTTCATGAACAGTCTCCAGAGACACCTCCTCCAACTTGCTCTCTCTTCGTGCACTTTTTTGCTTAGCCACACAATAACAGCAGTTATGGAGAGCAGATGTTCAATGATCTGAAAGCTAATAAGCAGTCTTCTGACCCTCACTCTGAGAGTCACTTCACCTAAATGCTGATCTTAAGCGATTTCAACAAAAATTAGTAGTAATCTAATTAAAATTTTGCAGCTAATTTAAACTAATTTAAATTTTGCAGATAAGAGAAATCAACAACCGTCGAACAATCAGCAGTTAAGAGTATAATACGGGAAAAGGCGGGGCTCTGGATTTTTATTGGCCAATGTAAACAGAGCCATAATTCTCTACAGATGGTCATGAAATATTCACCAGTACTGCAGTGGTGTGCTGTCAAAACCTGCCACAGCTTCAGAAAACACTAAGAAATGGACCCATTAGGAAGTTAGAAATTTATAACCCTGACAAAATATTTTCCTAACCATAGCAGATCAGTGTACTATGATATTATTCCAGTGCTTAACATACTTCTCCAGGGAACGTTAAAAGCTCTTGCTCATTTTCCATGCATCAGCACTGGAGAAATGTGTATATGAGAAAAAAGATACAAGCAGTCAATTGTCCATTAAATTCCAAGTTTAAATTCCACAGTAGTGTAATGATCTGTATAAAGGCTGTCAACACTTAAACATTTACCAGTTGCTTCGAAATGAACTACATGATATGCTGATTGATTAATTATAGTCACAATTACTTGCATATCAATATTTTCTCAGAAAAAATCCCAATCATTGAGAATGACTAATACGCGCTGAATAAACATTACAAAAACTAGTTTTAGAAGATTTTGGCCAAAAAATAAAAATAAATTCCATGACTCATCCTTTCATCCATGATTAATATTTTGTTTTATAAAAATCTTTTTGTAAACAAATTTGTTCAAATACAGTAACTTTAAGCAAAAATACTAACATACAACAAATCCAATATAAAGTCCATATAACACACTTAACCCAACACAAATTGTTTAAAATGGGAATGACAGATTCAAACAAATGTGTGCATTGCAATCACAATATACAAGATCAGGGTTCCCACACCTTGGTTAACTTAAAATTCAAGGACTTTTCAAGGACTTTCCAGATCCAATACCCTCAAATTCAAGGACTTAATGTGGGGTCACATTTCAAGTGAAAGCAAGGTTACATCGTGCTACCTTGTAAGATACATTGTTACAGTTTTCATGTGTCAAACACAACTATGCAAAAAAAACATTTTATTTTTTTTGCATTTATTTTTGGCCATATGACAGAGATCTGATATTCTGTGTCGTATTTCTGTTTTGCATAATCCTATACTGTATTCTAAAATGATCTGATATTAACTTTTGCATGGATTTTATTGAAAAGAGCTTAGGCTCATGTAACCAGAAGTTTTAGGATATATGAATATGCTTTTAAGTTTTTCTTGCCTCATGGGTTTACATTATCTTAGCAAGCAAAGCAATTCAACTTTGAGGTACCATTGTAGTAGTTTCGTGCGCGCGTGAACGTCATGGCAATGTACAACAAAAAGTACCTCACGTGGGAAACACTTAACGTAATGCGTAAATGCGCGTAACTAACCCAAATCAAGCAAGCTAGTATGCATAGTCCACGAAGTGTTGGCGAAATAACACATTAGCGGACCAGAGGGAATAATATAGGATTTTTTCCAGAAAACTTCTTGCACAAAATAAATTCAAGCATTTTCTGTATCTATGTATGTTTATTTTCAAAAACTTTCCAGGGCCTTGAATTTTTATTATTTTTTTCCAGATTTTTTTCAGGATTTCAAGGACCCGTGGGAACCCTGTCAAATATAGACTGACAGAATGTTAGACCGTCAACACACTACAACCATCTCTAAGCTGTGTTTCTAAAATTCATACTGTACCGTCATGTTCTGTATGTGCTGTTCACTTGTTTATTGTTAAAACAACAACAACAATCTGCCCTTCGCTTATAAAACATGAAGGCAACATATTTAAGAAATAAATCAGATAGAAGTCTCACCTTTATAAATGGGTCGGTATGTAAAAACACGCATGAGCGTGTGCGTGAAGAACCTCTGCAATGTGTCTTCAGAAACACAGCCACCAAACACTGAGACGTCAAACACTTGAACCCTAACAGAATCAGAATCAGAATGAGCTTTATTCGCCAAGTGTGTGCAAACACACAAGGAATTTGTTGTAGGCTTTTTTAGGAGCTCTTGGTACAAACATACATACATACAGTACATACATATATGACATTGACAACAGAAAGAACATTTAAATACGAAAAAATAAAAATAATAATAATAAAAATAATAATAATGCGGTATGCATCTGGAACAGAAGATTTATGTACAAATGTGTGCATTATTTACTGTACAGCTGTTTAAATAAAAAATAAATGTACTGTATGTATCTATATAATACTTGAGAGAGAGGCAATAATTAGTTGGTAAGACGTGGTAATTTCTGTTTAAGCTGGAGATGGCATGGGGGAAAACTGTTTTTATGCCTAGATGTGTTCTAGTGCACAGAGATCTGTAACGCCTGCCAGAGGGGAGAAGTGCAAACAGGTTGTGTCCTGAACAACAATCATGGCCATCCATGTGACATTACACTGGCCAGAACACATCTGCCTCTGTTTCTGAATAATGTGAGAGTTATTCCATGTCAACTCGACAGAGCCTCCCAGAATGGATTACTCATTTTCAGGGATGAAACAGTAATGCATCTGGAAGCTGACTTCCACATTTCAACCAAATTTGAAGCGGGATTTAGGTTATATAGATTATGCAGGAACATCTTAACAATGCAAACATTTTTATTAAAAGTTTGTCGGTAATCACATTTTTTCTTTCTAGCTTCCTAAATGAAAACTTCTGTTAAATCACTTCTTCACCATAAACCTAATGCTAAATTAAAATGCTAATTAAGATGAAAAATAAATAATTTTTTGTGTGTATTTATTTATATAGAAAAATATATATCACCAGCATACTAAAATACATAGAGATACAAAAAAAAGTAACTGAAATTGAATGATCCATAACCATTTATCACCTCCAAACCTCTGATCATATACTTTTATTTAATAATTATTCACTATTAACATTTACCAGAAGTCAGCGGCTGACGTCTCGGTGCCTTTAACACTCAGTGAGTCCAGGAGCCCTAAAGATCAAACACAAATCATATTACTCTATAATAATTTAGCTCATGATTTTTTTTTTTCAATTATTAAACAAAAATAGTTTTGTTTTTTTAAGTTTACTATTTATTGAAAAATATAACCTGCATGTGCATGTACTAAAATACATAGAGATACAAAAAAAAAGTAACTGAAATTGAATGATCCATAACCATTTATCACCTCCAAACCTCTGATCATATACTTTTATTTAATAATTATTCACTATTAACATTTACCAGAAGCCAGCGGCTGACGTCTCGGTGCCTTTAACACTCAGTGAGTCCAGGAGCCCTAAAGATCAAACACAAATCATATTACTCTATAATAATTTAGCTCATGATTTTTTTTTTCAATTATTAAACAAAAATAGTTTTGTTTTTTTGAGTTTACTATTTATTGAAAAATATAACCTGCATGTGCATGTGAACTACACATTATCTAAAGTGTACATTTCTCAGTGTAGTTTAGCATGATATTCAGCGGTGCGTCACAGACTTACATGAGATCATGGAGTCCAGAATCCAGCAGCATGTCTGAGAGAGGTTATGAGCGGAGTCTTCAAACGCCCTCCGCACCAGAACACACACTACAGCTACAGCACAACCAATAAAAACACACCACACTACTGGAGCACAACCTCATCCAAAAACACAGAAGAGCAGGAGTGTCCAAACTCAAACGATGAGACCGAGCTGAAACAACTTTGGAAGTTTTATCATGAATTGAAATGGAGACATCACACACTGGATATGTGGATGAGTTAATACAGGTCATTATTTGAACACAAGGACCATATCTACGTGTATTTCTATGTGGGTCAGTGAAGAATAATCTAACTTAGTATTTGTTCTTTTCTTTTTCTTCATTTGAATAATTTAACTATTACACTGTATTGGTTCTTTTTTCCTTTTATTCATTTCTGCATGTTGCTTTGCACGATTTTCATTTGGTACTGTTAATTTGTATATTTATATGCAATGCCTTGGCAACTTTTAAGTAAAATATTATAAAGTATACTAAATAAAAAACTCAGACCGAGAAAGAACAGGTGCAAGGCAGTGATGTGAGTCAGAGAAATATTTCTTACTGGAGAGGATGTGATGTCGTATCTGTTGGTCATCCGGTGTGGTGTTCATGGAAGCACATAAAGCTTTCAGCTGATCAGTGATCCATGCGCTCACAGCTGCATCTCTGATCATCACATCAGAACATCACATGTGGCGACTGCTCTGACTACAGAATGCCTGATGATCATTTATCTCCTGTATCTCATGTCATGACTGCATTACCTTTCCAGCATGAAGTCCAGCGTGAGGATGTTGTGAGTGTGTAGATGATAAATCACCTCCAGCACGGGCTGTGTGCACATAAAAACAAACCAGTCTCACTGCAGTCTCACTCACACACACACAGCAATCACTACTGAATTCACAGAAGCCTGTTTCTGAGTAAAGCAGAGAAAAGCATATTTTAAGCAGCTGTCCTCATGGGGACATCAGGTTGACTTCAGGTTTTACCGTCAATAGCTTTACTACGGCCATATACAATAAAGGCAAAACCTGCTCCACACTCACACTTACACACCTGAAGCTTCCAGTATTCCTGCCAGAGGAGCTCGGGACTGAATATTCCAGCAGACATCAGCGCTTGAGCCGACTTCAGTAATGCACACACATCAGACTGTTAAAAACACAGTTTTAATGCATGAATACATCCATCAGAACGTAAAAGCAATCAGCTGTATCAGTACAGGGCTCCAGACTAACATCTGAGAGCAGTGGCACCAGAACCACTAAGATCTACAGGTGGTGGCGTCAGGAGCAGATTTGGTAGCGAATAATAAAGATCATTTAATCATAAAATGACTATTGTTTTACATTAATAAATGCAGTTTCTAATAATATGACATGCTTATCTCTTGGTAATGCACATTTGACAGTAAAGCACTGAACTTGAATTGGGAAGCACACAAAATGTACTTTTTTTAACAACAGTAATGTGCGAAATATAATTTTATAAGGAAAATTAAGATATTCTACTCTTATTAAATGTACCATTATTCTTCTATAGTATTATCTGGAACTGACCGACAACTTTAGTGAGTGCTCTTGCTTTATGTGCGATTCAGTCACAAACTGAGAAGTTTGTTTTTCAAGGCACTTTGTGACTTTTTTACTTCATACACACACAAAAAAAAGATTTCTTGATGATTTGATATTCTATAATAAATAGTGATTTTATCATTTCAAAATATAAAGCAAAAATTAGAAATGAATGACTAATAAGCCAATAAGTGGTCCTCTGCTGCCATCTACTGTCATCTACAGTCATTTTTTTTTACATAAGTGTTTGTTTACCACAAGGTATATTTTGGTCATCCCATTAAAATAACATTTAAATTGGATAATTTTTAGAGCTTTAAAGTGCTGGAAATAGTTGTGTGAAATACTTGAAAGTCACTGAAAAGTGCTTGAATTTCCCTCCTTAAAAAGGTTGTACAAACCCTGAAATGAGTAATGTAGTTAATAACATTTGACCGTTTCTGCCACAACACCATGGTTATAGTTAGCGTTACTACTTCAGGTTTTCTGAAGTACGTCAGCGCTGTTTGACCTGTTTATAACAGAATTCTGAGCAGAATTTGAATGCTTCTCACTGAATCTCACAGCGCTCTGCAGTAAAAGTGTTGTGAGATTAACACTGGTTTCCGAATAAACCTGTTTTGAGCTCGGTGGTCGCACCAGTGCGACTGCTTACAAAATGTAGTCGCACCGGCAGAAAAGCTGTTCGCAAAATGTGATCATTTGGTCGCAGTCTGGAGCCCTGCAGTATGTCACATACTCTCTGTTTAGTGTTCAGTAACACATGTTCTGTGTTTGTGTCTGTCTGTGTGATCAGATCCTCGATGTTTTCCAGCAAAACTCTCGCTGACAGCAGCGCGACCGGAACCCCCATCTGCTCCGATCTCCTCCGAAGCTCATTCTCTGATCAACATTAATACACAAAACCAACACAAACACATCAACAACACAATCACATTAAGATAAGCAGAAAAAAAGCAGTTTCAAAAACATGTTGATTCCACATCATTAAGCTTTCATAATTTATGAGAACTGAAGGCGCCAGCAGACGCGTCTCACCCAGAACAGATGTATGGATGCCTGTGTTGTGCTCCAGCCCTTCATATCCGTCACAGCTGATGCTTCTAATTTTATGATGTGACTGTGAATCACAGATTAAAGGTAATCAATGCAGTACCTGTAAACATCACTATACTATGATAATTATGATTTGTTAAATAACACTTATTAAAATCACGTCTTGTGTGTGGACTTTTAAGTTACTTCCCGTCTGGTGCCCCATTTCATAGGCTGCATTATAGTTCGTTTTTTATGCCCTTCCCTCCCTAGTCTCGTTGACTAGGTTTTACATCATTGATTACGTTTAACGAGTGTTCGCTACTGGCGGAACCGTTGCAATAGGCTGAACTGGAATGTCTTAAGCCCTTGATCACTTAGAATCCACTATGGAGTTGACTTATTATTTAAATAGTTTTTCCTTACGAGCTAGTTTGATGCAGCATTCTATATGTATAGGGAAGTCGTGGCCTAATGGTTAGAGAGTCGGACTCGTAACCCAAAGGTTGCAAGTTCGAGTCTCAGGTCCGGCAGGAATTGTAGGTGGGGGGAGTGAATGTACAGCGCTCTCTCCCACCTTCAATACCACGACTGAGGTGCCCTTGAGCAAGGCACCGAACCCCCAACAGCATAAATGGCTGCCCACTGCTCCGGGTGTGTGTTCACGGTGTGTGTGTGTTCACTGCTGTGTGTGTGCACTTAGGATGGGTTAAACGCAGAGCACTAATTCCTAGTATGGGTAATCATACTTGGCCACATGTCAAGTCACTTTAAAGTATATAGGTATGCTTAGGCAATTTTACACAATACAAAAACAAAAACAAAAATGGTATATTATATAGTTGTTTGGGATGGGGATAGATTATACGGGGCTGCCTGAAGTGTACATATGAAGTAGACTCGCTCACTCTGTCAAAATTGAGGGGTCGAGGGTCTGTACATAAAAACTTCCCTCGTTCACTTCACAAAGTAGAACACACTTTAAAATGGTGCTTAGGGAAGTTCACGAGTGTGTTTAAAAGTGAAGTGGAACGCAGCCCTAGTCAGTTTGTCAGTCCTACCAGAATTTTGCTATTTTTTATTTGAAACAATGAATCACGTTTGCTTACTTCATTTGGCTCGTGTCCAGCAGCTGTCATATAGTAGTTATCTCAGACATCGTTAGCTATTTGCGTCGATATGTCACAGATATATAAAAATATATCTAAATTACGACCTATGCTCTCAATGTCAAATGTAGAAACATTAAATAATGCGTTCATGTCCTCAAGGTTAGATTATTGTAATGCTTTATTGGGTGGTTGCTCTGTGCGCTAAATAAACAAACTCCACCTGGTCCAAAATGGAGCAGCTCGAGTTCTTACAAGAACCAGGAAGTACGACCACATTAGCCCGGATCTGTTAAATCTGCACTGGCTCAAATGCATTTTAAAATCTTGCTAATTATTTATAAAGCCCTGAATGGTTTAGCTCCTCAATACTTGAGCAATACTTGAGCAAGATCAGAACTGGAACACATCGCTCACAGGTCGCTGCTGCTCAGCCCCCTGGAGCGGCTTGGGTTGAGAATCAATTTAGCCAAGAGCTTTTTGTCTCCCAGCCAGCGAGTAGCTTTTCTGGGGACAGTTATTGATTGTGCCTGGATGCGGGCATGTATTACGTCGGAATGCTCCCTGACTGTTCAGTGGCAAGCGGCGTCATTCAAACTGGGGACTTCACGTCCCCTCAGGGCATTCCAAAGGATGCTCGGTCTCACGTCGGCCGCTTCCTCTGTGAGTCCTCTGGGCCTGTTTCACATGCGGCCCCACCAGTATTCGCTCAAAGCCTATGTCCCGTCCCGCGCTTGGCGCCTGGGACGTTTTCATCTTAAGGTAACCCACCGCTGCATCAGAGCTGTGGCCCCTTGGAAAACTCCCCACCTGTTTCAATCAGTTTCAAATGGCTCCTGGTCAAACCTGGAGCAATGCTTACACATCAACTGCCTCCAGATAATGGTGGTTCTTCTAGCCCTAAAAACCTTCCTGCCGGCATTAAGGGAGCTCCACATCCTGGTGCGTTCGGACAACATGATGATGGTAGCCTTTATCAATCACCAAGGCGGTCTCAGGTCATGCTCCCTTCACAGGTTGGCTCAACGTCTCCTTTTACGGGCACAATGCAAACTCAAAGGTGGACCGCTTCGCCTCAGAAGACAACTTTTACTGCTCAAATTACTTTTCGAAACGGTGAGATGCCCTAGCCCACGATTGGCCTAGCGCTCGCCTGTGTGCCTTCTACCGGTTGCCCTACTTTCTCAGGTCATCAGACGGGTTAGGGAAGTCAGATGCTTGGTCCTCTTGGTGGGCCTACTCTGGAGGAATCAGATGTGGTTCCGCGAGTAGATTCAGCTGCTATCGGTAGCTCTTGCATGCGAAGGGCATGATTTTGGCATCCTTGGCCAGAGCTGTGGAGCCTTAATGTTTGGCCCCTCAACGGGAGTCTTTGCAGCTCCCCGCGAGTGTAACTAATACCATTTTGGAGCCTAGAGCCCCATCTACAATACATCTTTTATGCCCTTAAATGGTCAGTTAAACATACATTTAAACATAAAACTTTAATAATCAAATGAATGAACACAAAACGAAAATAAAAGCGGCAGCCCCTCACGGATGACTGTCGCGTAAAACATAATAAAACAACAACATAAATAGTCCAGTCCTGGTCCTCTCTCGTCTTTCACTGTTGTCACTCCTCCTTTTTTTCTTCTGGAGCTCCTCCATGGGACTCGAGACCGGTGAGTGACGCAGGTGTCGCTCATTATCATTTACTCCACCGGCCTTGCTCCGCTCCCACGGCTCTCGGCCCCGCCCCACTCGTCACATACCCCCATCACCCCTCGCACACCAGGGGGTACCCTCGAGACTACGCTCTACTTCCCCCCCCCCCCCTCCGGGGGGGGGGAGCTGATCATGGTGACTGTGGCGTACCTGGGGGTAAGGACAGACGAGGCGAGAGAAAAGGAGATGGAAGGTCAAGGAGAGACAGAGACGAGAGAGGGGAGAGAGAAAAGTAAAAAAAAAAATTCTCGGTCCGGTTCCCAGACACCCTGCCGCTTGGTCCTCAACCAGCTGAGAGGCTCTCATTTGCTGTGCCATGCGATGGTATTGGACATCTTTGGTGGACGGCTTGATGCTCCTCCGCCTCCTGGCGATGGCTCCTCCGATTGAGGGCAGCCGGAAAGCGAGTCCCCCGTTCCCTGCTCCTCCCTAATCATGGCAGACGGCAGCAGGCTCCGGCCTCCTGGCTAATGGCGTCGACTCCTCTACTCCCTCTCGGACGGCAGCCACCCCTCCTCGACCCAGGTGCACGGCAGCTAGCCCTCCAGCCCACCTCGTCTTCCATCGTTCCAGAACCACCGCCTAGGGCAGCCACCGGCGGTCTCCGCTCCTTCATGCTGCCCGACCTCCTCAGCAGTGAGGGCTCTCTGACAGCATGTCCCTCCTTCCTCCCAGGTTTCGGGACCAATGTAACAAAGTTTGTAGATCGGGAAAAAGGAGGCGGGAACCGGCGAAACATTTAAACATAAATCTTTAATAATCAAATGAACAAACACAAAACAAAAGTAAAAGCGGCAGCCCCTCACGGACAACTGCCGCATAAAACATAATAAAACAACAACATAAATAGTCCAGGCCTGGTCCTCTCTCGTCTTTCACTGTTGTCACTCCTCCTTTTATCATTCCGGAGCTCCTCCGTGGGACTCGAGAGCAGTGAGTGGCGCAGGTGTCGCTCATCAATTTCTCCACCGGCCTCGCTTCGCTCCCACGGCTCTCAGCCCCGCCCCACTCATCACAGTCAGTCTTCTCTGACTGGTGCGCAGCATGGAACGAGGACCCATCATCTTGCAACTTGTCCTACTTGTTAACTTTTCTACAAGAGCTGCTGAATAAGGGGTGCTACCCTTCCACCCTCAAAGTATATGCGGCAGCCATTGCGGCGACTCATTCTCTCGTGGCTGACCAGTCCATCGGGAGAAACAACTTAGTCGTTAGGTTTCTGAGGGGAGCTCGGAGATTGAATTCGCCTCACCCTCATACTGTGCCAAATTGGGACTTAACTATAGTCCTCAGGGCCCTACGGGGCCCTCCCTTTGAGCCACTCCAGTTGGTTGACTTGCGGCCCCTGATGCTTAAGACCGCCCTCCTTCTGGCTTTAGTGTCAGTCAAGCGAGTGGGTTACCAGCAAGCACCGTCAGTCAGGGCTTCCTATCTTGAGTTTGGGCCTAACGACTGTAGAGTCGTCCTCAAACCAAGACACGGCTATGTGCCGAAAGTGTTCTCCAGTCCATTAAGAGCACAAGTCTTCACCCTTCTAGCGCTCCCCAATTCAGAAGGTTAGCAGGGTCCTAATTGGTGGTCGACCGACATATCGGCATCAGCCAATAAGTCTTTATGTGTGGCTGATATTTTTCAAAATGGATTATGACACCATATCGTGCATTTATGCTTCCTCTTTAAGACAAGCCACTTAGACGTGAAGCCAGCACCTGACAGTAAAATGAACAATTGTCATTCACTTTCTAACTTCTAAACTTTCTAAATTATTTTTATAATGAAACAGACAAGCAAAACAAAACAGATTAGAGACATAAATCTTTATTATTAAACAACTATCCCATACTATAATTAAAACAACCTGTTGCTCTGTAAACTAACTATATATGTATTGTACATAAAATACATGGAATTACACATACTATTTTTATTCCCAGTATTGCTGTGCTAAAAAAATTTCTTCAAGTAGAGGGTCCCACAACAAGAGGAATTCAAACACTGAGGCAGACAATGCTACAGAGCTTTGAAAAAAGGTTTTCCAAAATGGAAGAGAACAAATGTTTGGTGCTGGCAACCCTGCTGGATCCTCGTTATAAAGCCCATGTGTTTACAGCAGCAGACACACTGGATAAAGCCAAACAGTGGATAGTGGAGGAACATGCCACTGCCTCCGCACAACCAGAAGCCACTTCCAGAGAGGAAGGTCAACAAGTCCTCCAAAACAATCAAGGAGAGAGGCAGAGGAACCCACTGGTATTGTTGATTAAATTTA